CATTATTGCCCTTCTCCCTGAGCCGACCTCTGGGTTTCGACCTATTGCCGTGTTTCCCAGTCTTTACAGGCTTTGGGGAAAATGCCGTAGGGAGTACGCCATAGCTTGGGAGGCGGCGCACATGCGCACGTACTGGGCCGCAGGTCAACACAAGTCTGCCAGCGACGTGGTCTGGCGCCAAGCGGCGCGGACAGAGCAATCCAGGTCGAACTCGGACTCGGCCTGCACCCTGCTGTGGGATTTCGTTAAGCACTACGAACGGATCCCCCTGGACCACCTGATTTTGCGCTGCGAACGTCACGGGCTGCCGCCCGCCATCACTTCTTTGTGCATCGCAGGGTACAGGTCGGCCAGGTTCCTCGTGCTGGCAGGTACGGTTTCTTACCCCATGTATGCCAGGTTCGGCATCATAGCGGGTTGCAGTTTCGCGACGACATACATCCGCACTTTTGCTTTAGACGGCTTCGACTCCCTGTCTATCCCTCCCCTCCTCTCGTTCGACGCTTACATCGATGACATGGGTATCAATGGAGTGGGGAAGGAGGAGGAGGTTGCTAAGTGTGTTTGCAATTTTTCTGCCGAGCTCGAAGCCGTCATAGGTAATATTCTGCGCGCGTCCATCGCGCTTGACAAGGTCGGCCGCGTCTCATCCTCCAAGTCCCTCTCGCGATCAGTGGAACGGGGGCTGGGAAAGTTGGCGGGGAGATCTCACGAATCCATTGTGAACCTCGGGATCGATGATGCAGCCGGTGGCGCCATACGGTCTCGTGGGCGCAACGCCCGCACCAAGCTTCGTGCCACTCGTGCCAGACGGCGGGCTGGCCGACTGGTTGGCCAGCGAGCTGTTCTAGGACGCAGGGCGATCAAACTTTGCACTTCGGGCCCACTGCCAGGAGCCACGTACGGCAGCGAGGTTCACGGTTGCAGCGACTGTGAACTTCTTAAGTTGCGGAGGCTTTGTGCTGCCACGATGAAACCCAGTGCAGGGGCAGAAGCCTGACCATTCTCAGTAGGTTAGAAGGGGACCCTGCTTGGTTTGGCGCGGTTTCCCCCATCGTCCGCTGGGCCAAAGAAGTGTGGGCTCGACACACCAGGGCCTCGGATTTTGTTTTTACTTGGGCCTAGTTGCATTCTATGTGGAACGACAGCTTTCACCGCTCCTGGTCCTGGAGAAAAGTGGGTGGGCCCGTTGCGGCCATGCGGCTTTCGGTCGACAGGATCGGCTGGTCCATGCCCTCCCCTTTCCTCCTGGTCAGCGACCCTGGGGCCCGCCACTCCCTCACCCTCACCCTCCCCGCCCTCCTTAAGAAGCTCTTGAAGGAAGGTGTCTGGAGGAGTCTCGAGCGGGATGCTGCGAAGAAGTATGGGGGCCAAGGGTCTACGAGGCTTTGTTTTGACGTGGTTGCGTCTGCCCTCAGGTCCAAGAAACTTACGCCCCTCCATAAAGGAACCATCCGATGTTTGACCTGCCAAGGATTGTGGCCTCTTGCACGTGCGAGAGCTGCAGGATATGATATTCCTGATGAGTGTCCTCTTTGTCATGCGCCTGGAGACCCCCTTTTTCATCGTCTGTGGTGCTGTCCCGTGGTGGAAGAGACGAGAAGGGCTATCATACCTGGCGGAGTTCTTGAGGCGATCAGAGGCGATCCCGAAGCTAGCGCTAAGTTCGCGTTGGTTTCTGCTCTTTTCGAGCACCCACAAGATGTAGCCCCCCCCCCCCCCCCAACGCCGACCATGACGACAGCCGCGACGGCATTGTTCTCAGGTATTTTCCCGAGGGCTTCGAGGCGGAAGGCTGGGTCTGCCCTCCCGAGGGCTCGCGCCTCTTGTGGGGCGATGTCTTCCTTGCTGGGCCCTGTGCCAAATCTCCCATTCGGGACTTGTGCCGCCTAGCTATGGCATTTGGACCCGTTTGGGACAGCTGCCCACAGACGGCCCAGGCGGGAGAATTTTCGGCTCATGCTGTTTGTGGTGCCTTTCTCTCACAGCCCAGTCGATTGTATAGCGACTGCGCCAACGTCGTTGGCATGCACAGCCTGCCAGAGCACGCCCGCCTCGCTCAAGATCGACCCGACGCGGGTTTGATAATGCAAGGGCGGGCGCTTGGTGGGAGGATCATTCTGAGCTGCGATAAGGTCAAAGCACATCAGGCATTTAGACGACCTCAATCTTTCTCCTCTCGAACGCATGTTGCGAATCGGGTATGAGTTTGCTGATCGCGCGGCGAAGCTTGGAGTTGCTGCGCACCCGTCCGCAGCAGCTGCCACGCTCGACGAATTGGATTTCTCTGTTTTGGTTTCCAAGGCGACGGTTAAACTGGCTGCCGATTTGCTCCCGTTGTGGCCCAGGACCGACGTAAACGAGGTCCCCTGGTCCCCTCCTGGGACGCCTCGGTCGGCAGCGGACGCCAGCCCACACTCGTGGACCTGGCTTGGCCCCCCGTGCGGGGAACAGCGTTTTTGGCAGTGCTCGTCTTGTCTGCGTACCAACCGCAGCCCTAGCGACACTTGCCCTCCCTCTGGACACTGTACCGGGTTCCCGAAGATCAGTGTCCAGAGGCTTGGGGAGTTGAACCACAAGTGCGTTCTGTTTGATTGTTCAAACGACTCTTTCCTGGTCGTTTGTTTGCTTTGCAGGTGCTATTCCTCGGGGGCTCGCATCGCCAGGCTCGGAGTTCCGTGCACAGGTCGCCCTGTGGACCCCAAGACTGGCAAGGAGAAAGCCCCCGCAGGAACCTGGTATAAGATATGCAAAAGCCTCCACCCAACGCGAGTGGAGTGACCCTGCTATCAGACACTTTCAGCGTGCTTTAGTCATGCAGCGATAGGTCGTGCTCAAAAATCCTGCCCTTCCTCCTCCTCCTCCTGCTCCTCCTGCTTTTCCTGCTCCTCCTGCTCCTCCTTCTCCTCCTCCTCCTCCTCCTCGTCCTCCTCCTCCTCCTCCTGACCCCCTCCTTGTTCTTCTCATTCCACGCGTTTTCCCTCCATGTCCTCGTCCTTGCGCGCCTGCGCCCCTCCACCTCCTGTGCCCCCGCTTCCACTGTCCTTCCCCGTCCTGTGTATCCTGCTACACTTTACTCCTCCTACACACACTTCGCAATGGTTTCCTCCTCCTCGTCCAATCTCCCATCCCCCATCCCCCATCACTCCTCCTCCTCTCCTCCTCCTCCTCCTCCTCCTCCTCCTCCTCCTCCTCCTCCTCCTCCTCCCTCCTCCTCCTCCTCCTCCTCCCTCCCTCCTCCTCCTCCTCCTCCTCCTCCTCCTCCTCCTCCTCCTCCTCCTCCTCCTCCTCCTCCTCCTTCCTCCTCCTCCTCCTCCTCCTCCTCTCTCTCCTCTCCTCCTCTCCTCCTCCTCCTCCTCCTCCTCCTCCTCCTCCTCCTCCTCCTCCTCCTCCTCCTCCCTCCTCCTCCTCCTCCTCCTCCTCCTCCTCCTCCTCCTCCTCCTCTCCTCCTCCTCCTCCTCCTCCTCCTCCTCCTCCTCCTCCTCCTCCTCCTCCTCCTCCTTTTGCCCCCCCCAATCACCGTCGTCGTCTCATTCTTCCAATGTTTATATTCCCCTCCTCCGTCTCGTTATCATCCTCATCCTCCTTCTCTTCCTTCCTTTCGTTTTCGTCGCCTCATCCTCCCCCTCCTCCTCCTTTTCCTCCTCCTCCTCCTCCTCCTCCTGCTCCTCCTCCTCGTCCTCCGCCTCCTCCTCCTTTTCCTCCCCCTCCTCCTCCTCCTCCTGCTCCTGCTCCTGCTCCTGCTCCTGCTCGAGTTTTTTTTTTATATCACCAGGGTTTCGCCCGTGCTCCGCCGCCACGCAGATGTTGGCCACGATTGGGCACGGACCACGAGCAACCGAAAACATCAGGCTCCACCCACCCCGCCGGCATGGTACAACATTGCCGCGGGCCACGAGCGCCCGAGACCGCCAGGTGCCTCGTCCACTCCGCTGCCAAAAGCCACAACGGGGGGCACGAGCTACGGGCAAGCGACATCCTCGAGGTTTCGCCCGTCCCGCCGCCTGATGCAAAGCTGCCACGGGCCACGAACTGCCGAGATCGCCACGGTTTCGCCCGCCCAAACCGCTCCGCCGCCGCGGGCCACGATGATGGGGCACGAACCACTAGAAACCGAGACCGCCAGGGCTTCGCCCACCCCGCCGCCACGACGCGACATTGCAACGGGCCGCGAGCAGCTGACCACCACGACCATTACGACCACCACGACCACCATTCAGTTTGCATTGGCTCAAGATCGCCATAACTCGATATCGTTGATATAACGTTCATAGCTCGGTGGTCGAGCTTGGCTCGAGCTACTATATGTGGTTTCTTTACGGAACTTCCGATACATGCGCCAGAAAGCCTCTATAATGTACCTGTGGGGCCTCTTTACATTAAGAGGCATCACGACGCCTCAATATGTGTATATATATATGTGTGTGCAGGCGGGGGTTAGAGCGGTAGCTCATCGGGAATAAAGGGGAGCCACTACTCACGTTGATCACTCACTCTGGGCTTCGCCCCTTCTTACTCCCTCTACTCGTTGGCCAAAGCTGTTGACAGAGCTTCGAATGCCTCGAGACAACGGCACCAGCATGTGCGAGCCCCAAGACTCACCCCGAGGCCACGGCAGGAATCACACCTCAAGTGTACCACCGTCGTCCAACGACCGGGGTCAGAACGCCGTTCCAAGTGGGCCTCGAGAGGGAGCAGACTCGCACCACGCTGTGCCCAGAAGCCCGAGAGAAGCTCTCGCGAGACGCTGAACGAGGCAGAACGGCCGGGCAGATAAGATGCCTGGACGGCATGGCACAGGGCGGATGTGGGCGGGCCACAAAGGCTGCCATGCATTCTGATGCGGCCAACGTTCGCTCATTACCCCTTCGCCCACACATTGACCGTAAACGTGTTCATGTGTGCGCAGGCGGGGGTTAGAGCGGTAGCTCATCGGGAATAAAGGGGAGCCACTACTCACGTTGATCACTCACTCTGGGCTTCGCCCCTTCTTACTCCCTCTACTCGTTGGCCAAAGCTGTTGGCAGAGCTTCGAATGCCTCAAGACAACGGCACCAGCATGTGCGAGCCCCAAGACTCACCCCGAGGCCACGGCAGGAATCACACCTCAAGTGTACCACCGTCGTCCAACGACCGGGGTCAGAACGCCGTTCCAAGTGGGCCTCGAGAGGGAGCAGACTCGCACCACGCTGTGCCCAGAAGCCCGAGAGAAGCTCTCCACTCCAAGAACACCCGAACAGCTCTCCAAAAGAAAGCTCTCCAATGTGTTTCGAAATATGGCTGAAAGCCGCCCACAAGCTCCCTGGAGAGTCGCACCTGGCCTGGATTCGAAGATATTTGCTACGATACGCCCGAACACGGGCAATCAAGGTATCTGCGAAGGTCTGGAGCGAGGAACGGGTGGCAGGCTGAAATCGCATCTCGGCCAAAATTGCGGCCCCATCTTGAATATAAATCTTTGCTGTCCTCATTGAGCTCCAACGACCTCGAAGCATCACTTTAGGCAAGTCGCCTGAAAACAAATATTCGTGCGTAGCTCCGCCTCTACGCAAACTATACGGGACGAGGCCGAGATGTGCGCAACCAATCTCTCGAAGGCCAATGCGAAAAAGCAAATGAAAGGCACGAGGAGGCGAGGGCCACAGACGGCCGTCGCGCTGCAGCTGCATATGGACGACCGCTCCTACGAGCGGGTCATCCAGCGCCACCGTCTCTCGTGCTCCCTTCTGACAGGCTGTCTTAGTCCAGGGCAACGGCACCACGCCTCTGCCGCAAGGCTTGAGCTGAATGACGCCGCTGGAGAGGCCAAGAGCCTCGCCTGTCCGAAGGCAGAGGTGGAAGCCGGCGAGGATCGTCGCGGCGAAGGCGATCTCTCCGCGGCCCAGCGCCCAGCCTGCGAGCGCGCTGCACACCAGCGGCGGCATCGGTGGCGCACGCTGCGGCAACTCTAGGCGCCCCCAGACTGACAGCAATCTCCACGCGCCTGGGCACTGCCGGCGCGTCCTCAATAGGTGCTGTACTCCACTCAGTGCATCGTTAGCTTGACCTTTAGTGGCACCTTCGGCCCCCAAGTATTCAAGGTAGTCTTGTAATGTGACATCCATGTCTTCCCAACTGAACGGCAACGGCAGGTTCATGGCGTTAAGGTAGTCAACAAACTGCTGGGCTGCCCGACGGTATCTGGCGAGAGTGGCAGCGCCGATCCGGGCATCCCGCAGCTTCCCCAGGCCAGCTCTGGTTGTGCGCCTGTCGGCGGGGCTAGATTGCTTCCCCATGCTTCAGGCGCGACGGCGCGTCCGCGGGGTTCTGAGCTGATGAGGTGAAGCTGAACACCGCCCGCGCGCCCATCGCTAGCTCCTCGGCCGAGAAGCTGCGCACAACCTTGCCGAGCTGACTGCTGCTGGGGCGGTGCTTCGAGAGCGCACCGACGTTGACCATGCTGTCGAGGAGGTGCAGGAAGACTCGCTGCTGTCGGCCCAAAGCTTGAGCACGCCATCGAATCATCGTCAGCGCTCCCTGCCACTCCAGCACATGGATATGTTCAGGGAGATCCCACACCAGCTCTCGTGCCTTACGCCACTGCCAAAGACCTGAATCAATCACTTGCCGAAGGAAAGCGAAGCTGAGCTCCTCAGACCTTTTGTCACAACGAAGGCTCGCACCATCACCGCGGCACGCCATCACAAGACTTGTCACCAGCCTACGCGAGGCATCCGAATCACGCCAGGACGTAGCATTTCGTCTGGCCAGCGCTGCGAGCAGCACATCTGCATGACATGTCTCGGATTGACTGCAGTGGCCAACCAGCTTGGCCCCACGCAAGTCCCCCAGGTGGCGAAGCAGCTCGGGCAGGCCGCTCGGCCATCAAGCAAGCAGCGCCACCGCGTCCTCGCGGGAGTAGCTCGAGCTCACTGCGAACGGGTTGCCGAAACAGGACGGGGCGAGGCTCCAGCGCCGTGAGCCGCGCACGACGTAGACGAGGCTGCCGCCCGTCGCCGGCGCCGCCGCGGCGGGCCGCTCACCCGCCCGCTGGCGTTCGCTCGATGCGGCTGCGCTGCGGGCCACCAGCTCGCCAAAGACCTCCGAGCCGACCTTCACACGGCTGCATCGCAGCGAGGTGACGTCGCCAGCCCACAGCTTGCGCCCGCCAACCCAAGCCCGAGCGCTCTCGCGCAGCTCGGAGAGCGGCGGCACCGCCACCAGCAGCCCTGCAGCGACAGCCCAGTGCGCCAGCAGCAACGCCACCACCACGCACTGGAACGAGTTGCCGACCAGCGAACTCCTCAATCCCTCGTACTTGACGGGCTCGGCCTCCGCCTCCCTGCTGGTCCTGCGCGGCACGGTGTAGCCTTCGGCGAAGCCCATCAGCTTCTCCCTCATCACCGCGCCAGGAGGCGCGGTCCGTCCGTCAGGCCAATGAATGCACCACTTGTCATGGAACTGGTAGGGCGGCAGCCACTCCTCCAGCGGCGGGCGCTCCACCTCCAGCGACACGCGGTACAGGCGGCGAGAGGCCCCGTCCTTGGTCAGCACCATCACGGTCTTGGCCTCGTACGATGGCAGGAAGTCCCAGGACGGGCAGGAGAGACGAGGACGGCCCACCCAGCCGACGTCACCAGCCTCAACCTCCAAGGGGGTCCGCTCGAACAACCCGCTGAGGTGAAGGATGTCGGACTCTGCCACTGACGCAACATTTTTGCCAAGGAAGTCAACGCTCACCTCGGGCATGGCGGCACGCAGACCTCGGATGACCCTCACCATGTGATCGACCAGCGAGGCGCGCGAGTCCGACGAGCCCTGGCGGTCGACGTTCAAGCTCGTGTAGATCTGGCACGGGAAGCCGCCGATGACCACCGCGCGGGCGATGCGGCCGCGGGCCCGCAGTAGGCTAGCCAAGGCAGCAGGGTCAGCAGATGCAACATCCCTGAGGTGCGTGTCAGGACAAGCGCGCCGCGCAACGCGGACCGCCTGCGGGTCAACCTCAAACGATAGGTGAACCGCTGGTACCAGGCCCAGTATCTCGAGGGCTCCGCGCCCGCCGCCGATGCCATCAAAGACGGTGATCAGGGCGATCTCCTGCTCGCGGGCGGCGATCGCGGGCCGCTGGCATCTGCCCGCGACGACACGCCCGCGCTCGGTAAGCGCCGTGCTGTACACCACGGCCCCAGCGGCCTCGGACGCGTCCGAGGCCGTCACCAGGTGGTCGACCTCGAGCCTCATATCGGCCACGCAGCGCCCCGACAAGGCCAGGCACATCGACCAGTCCTCGATCACACTCACGCTGAAGCGGCCTCCACAGCCCGGGTCGTTGAGCCACTTCCAAGTGTAAGCGAAGCTCGCGGCCAGCGGGCGGCGGACGCCGTGCCCGCGACCCCAGCGCCCAGGAAGAATACGTTTCAATTGCATGCTGGCCCGCCTCTGGCCCAGAACCCAGAGCGTGAGGCTGGCCTTCACAGCGATGTATCCCGCCGGCGGCCGACGGACACCTTCAACGCCATCAACAAGCTCGCCCAGCGTGGCAGCGCGCACCACGCGGTGCAGGTCCCTGCCCGGGGACCCAGGCGACCCTGCGGCCTCGCAGCAGGCACGAGCGTCAGACAGCAGCTCGGGGACCGTCCCGCGCGGCTTGTCGGCCTCAGATTTGTCAACGGCCTCGGCGATCTCAAGTTGTCGATCATCATCCAGGCAGGCGGGCAGGGCTTCTCTCCATCAAGCGGCAGGCGGCGGCGCCGGGTAATCTCCCAGCCGGGGCACAGGCCGCGAGGCACCACGCTGCTGCGACGCAGTGTGTTGCGATGACGATGAGTCGCAACCCCTACTGCGCTGAACCAGCCCATGCCGATCACGCGCAGGCAGATGTGGGTAGCGCCGCCGCCCTCGAGACCCAGCAGGCGTGACGGCGCTGGCGGCCCGATCCCCATGTACGGCCACCACGGCGGCGGCGCGCGGAAGGCGTAGAAGAGGGCCTTCATGTCGGCGCCGCTCCACACCAGGTCCTCAGAGTCCGTCAAGACCAGGCCGTTCAGTTGGCACATCGTCGGCATCTCGGGCGCGCCGCCAATGATGCACTCTTGGCAGGCGTTCGACGGGATCAGATCGGAGATGAGCCTGAGCACGGGCCTCAGCACCCCGCCCTGGCACTTGGCAGGGGCGTCGTAGGCCCGCACCGAAGTCGGCGCCGCACGGCTCAGCGCAGGCGGCAGCAGCACCAGCCCAGAATCCAGCAACGAGTCACGCACGAAGCCCGTCGCGACCTCGGCAGCCTCAATCAAGGCCGCAACCCCAGGCGGCGGCAAGCCGTCCAGCACCTGCTCCAAGGTCAGCTCATGAGGGGCGGTGATCTCGGCGCCGCCGTAGCCGATCTTGCAGCCCTTCAGGCAGTCCTCCCAGTTGAGCTCTGCAGGCAGGCTGGTCTCGATGCGCGTCGCCAGGTACAGGGGGCGACTCAGGGCAGCCCAGGCTGCCCGCTGAGCAGCGCTCGGGCGCCTGCGGCAGAGGCGCGCGAACTTCGGCGAGCGGGAGCCTGCCTCCCCGTTGAGCGCCAGCACCGTGACAACCAGCCTGCAGTCGGGCCCCTTCCGGTTCAAGTCGCTAAAGTCATCGCCGTCGCACGCGACGTCGGTCTTCACGATGGTAGGGTACGGTAACGGCAGGAAGTCACGTTGCAGCCGACCTCCCATGGTGGCCATGTGCTCGCGCAGCTGAGGTTTGAGGGAGTCACGGAAGTAGCGACCGAATGAACCAGGGAAATCCTTGGCGGGGTTGAGAAGGATCGGGCCCACGTCATAAGGCTCACGGAGCAAGTCACCAGCAGCCCCAGTAAGCCCTCTCCAGTCCTCCAGTGGATCGTGTCGAGAAGAGTTCTCGTCAGCAGTGGCAGGCGGCAACCCCAGCGGGGTCGCAGCGCAGTGGTCAGATAGCGAACGCGACGGCGAAGCCCCAGGCGGTCCTCACGGCGCAGCAGCCCGCAACGAAGCGGCTGCTGCGCCCCGGGCGTCATCAGCAAGGGCATCGTCACCACGGGCTTTCACCGCGCCGCCGCCGGCGGGCCAGTCCCGCGGCCGCCAGGCGGGCGGGGCCGCGAGCCGTTGGCCCTCCCTGCGTTGCGTCCCCTGCCGCCGCGGCGTCTCGGGCGACCGCGTCCTGCTCCCAGGGGAGCCGACGCCGCCGCCGCTGGCTCGTCCTGCCTGAAGGCGCGGCGCTCGGGGCTCCCCGCAAGCACAACTCGGCGCGGTTGAGGGCTGTCTCCCCGGGGGGTCCGCTCCGTCTGGGGAGACGGAGTCCGCGCGCGGGGGCCTGAGGGCGCTGCGGCGGATGCCTCCTCGGCCCGAGGCGCTGCCGCTGGCGACCCTGGAGCGTGAGCGGGGCTGCTCCCTCGGAGCGGGAAGTAGCGGAAACGCCCGCGACCTCGACCCTTGCCTTTGCCGCGCGAGAGCTCCCGCGCTGGATGGAGCGCGGCTCGAGAGGGGGAGCGCGGCCGCCGGCCCCCCCGCGCCCCCCCCTCGGGTCACCCGCGCCCCTGGCCGCGGCCGAGCGCCCCGAAGGCCCCGCGGCTCTTGGCCTCCTCCAAGCGCCTCCTCAGCAGCGCCGAGCGCCGCGCCAGATCCTGCTCGTCCATCGACGCCAGCGACGGCCTCACGTCCGGGACGATCTCGAGCTCGCTGGCAACCTGCCAGCCCGCGTCCGACAGCGAGAGCTTTGAACCTCTGCATCAGCACGTCGCTCAGCTGCGGGAAAGAGCCGCTCTCCAACTGGTCCAGCGCCGTCGCCAAGGTCTGGAGATCCCGCACCGCGTTGACGCGCAGCTGCGACACGGGGTGGTGGCCGAACGCGATGGCCTGCAAATACCCAACCACCTTCGGCCTCGTCTCGGAACCGCCCGCCCCCTCCCGCAGGCCCATGACGCGGGCGATGTTCTGCATCGCCTCGTCGTAGAGGGCGCCAGGCTGTCTCTCGGCCAGCAGCCGCACGCTGCCGCCGCGAGAGGGGGCGTCGCGAAAACGCGGCTCGCCTTCGCCATCACTGCGGTTGCCAGACTCACTCCGAGCCCGACGCCTGCCGCGGCCTGTCACCCCGCGGCTGCCACCGCCCCCGACCGCAAGCGCGCGGGCAGCTGCTGCCGCCGCCAGGCGTTCGGCGGCGGCTCCGCCAGGGATGGCAGAGGGACCGCCTCGACCAGCTCCACCGCCACGGCCGCCGAAGACGCTCGGGCGCACCCAGGGCTCCACCAGCCCGTGGGTCGAGCGCAGCCGCAGCCACTCCACGTGCAGGACGGCGCGGCCCGCCTGCGCAGGCTCGCCACACCGCGCAGGCCCCTGCGCGCAGAGGTGCAGCAGCCCAGCAGGACCGCCGCCCCGCGGAGGGAAGGCGACGTCAAAGCGCATCGCCTCGGCGGCCAACGACGCGCCCATGAACAGCGCGCTGAGATACTGACCTCCAGCACCTGGTACACCGACCTCATCGATCTCGAACAGCGCGGTCCCACTGATCGCCCCCGTCGCCTCGTGGGTCGGCAGCTCCACGGCCAGGCCCTGGCTCCAGTTGGCCCCGACGAAGGTAAAGGCCTGCGCCCAGGCTCCGTCGACGAGCCCGTCAAGCTGCAGCCCCGCAGCCGGGGCGACCGCGCCCCCCAACACGCCGAGGGCAGCGCCCGGCCCCGCGGGCCCAGCGCCAGGCGGCGCGCCCGCGCCTCCAGCACCGCCAGCGCCTGCAGCGGCCAGCGCCCCGACCAGCGCCGCTCCAGCGCCGCCGCCGCCGCCGCCAGCCGCGCCGTCGCCAGGCGCCCCGAGGCCAGGGAGGGGGGGGCGCCCGCGGCGCCCACGCCGACGGCTCCAGGCAGGCCAGGGAAGCCGCCGAGCCCCGGCACCACTGGCGCCCCAGCAGCGCCACCGCCAGCTGCACCTCCAGCTGCGGGCGCGAGGCCGCCTCCGAGGCCGACGGGCGCCCCTGCCGCTCCAGCAGCTGCGCCAACGCGCCCGCGAGTGCCACGTCCTCCGCCACGGCCAGCGCCTCGCCCGCGGGCGGCAGCGAGAAGCGCAGGAAGGGCCTTCGCCTTTGCCTTGCCTTTGGCCTTGGCCTTGGCCTTGCCCTTGGCCTTAGGCGGCATCAGGCGACAGGGTCGACAGCGCCGTGATCTGCGCCGCCAGCAGCCGCGCCTGCTCGACGAGCAGCGCCCGCTCCTGCGGCGCCAGCCGCGCCTCGCGCGCCCCCTGGCGCGCCAGTGCGAGGAGGTAGCACAGTTCGCACACCTCCAACAACGCCCCGCCCTCCGCGAGGGCCAAACTCTCGCCCTCGGCGAGGCGCCCAACGCACCAGCCGCAGATCCGAGGCCGCTGGGCCCGCGGGGCGGTGGAGAGCGCGGCGGCGCAAGCAGGGGGCATCCCAGGCCTCCCAGGCCCTGAGCCACAAAGGCCGCCATGAATTCTGACGCGGCCAACGTTCGCTCATTACCCCTTCGCCCACACATCGACCGTAAACGTGTTCATAGGGAGAAAAAAAAAGAGAGAGAGAGAGAGAGAGAGAGAGAGAGAGAGAGAGAGAGAGAGAGAGAGAGAGAGAGAGAGAGAGAGAGAGAGAGAGAGAGCGAGAGAGAAAGAGAGAGAGAGAGAGAGAGAGAGAGGCCAAGAACCTCATGGTAGGTATGACACGAAGACAAAACACCCGGTTTGGACATTTGTAAACATGATTGGCTCGCGAGGATCAAAGCATTCATAAATCAACAAAGAACGCGCGACGCGCGTGGAAAGCGGCGCCACCCCTACGCGCCCCAGCGCGCGCCCCGGCGTCGCCCAGGGGAGCCCAGGGAAGGCCCCGGGCCTGCGGGGGCCAGGGGGCCTTCGATCTGCCCGCGCGCTGGCCGCAGCGCGAGCCCAACGGCTGGAAGCTGCGGGCCGCGCCCGCGCCCTGCGAGGCTGGCCGACCATCCGCGGGGGCCTTCTGAACTCCGGGCGCGGGCTTCCAGCGCGGGCGCGGGCGCGCGCCCAGGGGGCTTGCGGCGCGCGCCGCGCCGCCTAACCCTCGCCCGGACGGGCCCGCGCCCGCGCCCACAAGCAACGCGCGTTGCCCGCGCGGGCGCGCGCCCGCGGGCGCGCGATGTAGGCCGACCCGCGCGCGCGCGAACGCAGTCGCGCCGGGGCCGAGCGCGCCGCCGCGGGCGCCCGAAGGGCAGGATCAAAACAAATAACGAAAGCAGAAACGGCTTCCCTGCTGCGCCACGCTCGCCCTCCGCGCGACGCGCTGCCGCGCTGGCGCGCGAGCGCCAGCAAGCCGCGACAGGGGTCGGGCGCCGTCGGGGGGGGCGCAGCAAAACGTAGACATTTTTATATATATATATATATATATATATATATATATACAAAAAAACCGACGATTGAAGGGTTCGCAGCAGGGCCCCGGGCAAACACCAACGCGCGCGCCGCGCCCGCGCGCCCGGCGGCAATTAATGCGCGCCGCGCCCCCGCCGACGGATGGCCCCCGAAATCCGCGCGCGAAGCGCCGCCCCCCCCTCGTCGTCGCGCGGCGGACAAATCGCCCGCCGGAGAATCGCCCGCGCGCCGCGGAGGGCAGAAGCGAGGGGGCCAACGGCGCGCGGAAATCGCCCGCGCGCCGCGCGAGGGCGAAACCGCGCGCGTCGCCGGAATCGCCCCTGCCCCGCGGAACAAATCACGAGCCGCGACAATGGCCCCCTAAGATCTCCAGCTGCGCGCGCCCGGTCGCGACTGGCGCTCGCCGCAATTAGTCGCGCCCTGCGAGACGAAGCGCGGCGCCCTGACCATCGCCCGAGCCCCGCGAAGGACGCGTTGCCGCGCGCGCCCCCACCTCGCAAAAATCCACCGCGCTTCCCGCGAGGCGCGCGCCCCAGAAAATGCCCGGCACGCCGACGAGCGCGCCGCGCCAGTCACTGGAGCTCCCGCGCGCGCCCTTTGAGGGGCGAGCGCGCGAGGCGGCGACGTCCCCCTCGAGGCGCTCGCGTTGCCTAAGACATCCCTCGCGCGCCGCGCGGGGCCAATGGTTCGGGGGGAATTGCTCGCGCTCCGCGCGAGATGTTGTCGAAGGGCGCTGTGGCGGTCGGAGGGTTCTCGCGCCTCGCGAAAGATGCACGCTCCGCGCGCCGCCCGGCACGCGCGCGCAATGCCATCGGCGGCGCGCGCGCGGAAGCCCGGAAATCCCACGCGGCCGCGCAACTGTCCAAGACCAGGAGGCCCGAGGACTCGGCCCCGCCCCGAGCCCGTTGACACATCTCGCCTGAGACCACACCTGCGAGCGCCCTGGGGCCCGAAGCCAAGGCGAGAACGTCCGCCGTCACTCTTCTCTTCGCAGCGCCGCAGCGCACGCGCCCCTGGGAATTCGATGCCGCGATCTGTTTGGACGACGCGCTTTCGGCGCTTTCGACTCCTGCCCTGGGCCGCGGAACAGACCCCAGGAAGGGCAAGATTGTTCAGGTTAGGCAGTTCCACGTTTTTGTTGCGCCTGGGGCTCGACGGTCATCGCGCGGAATGGAACCCGCGGACCTGGCGGCCGCCGATCCTCGGGGGTCCTCGCCAGCACAACCTTCAATGAAGCATGTTCCCTGGTTTCATTATTGCTCCGTGTTTGCTTCGCGCTGTCGCCATGCTCTCCCATACTTCCATCCCACCACCAACTTGTGTCAAACCTGTCTTCGCACTTCCCGCCCTCCTGCAACTCGCGCTTGTACTTCTTGTGCTTCTGTTCTGCATGGAAGTCTCACTTGTACCACGCTTCGCACTTATCCCGCCTGGTGCGCGGTGCCCCTGCTTGGGGCGCTCTAAAACGTAGCCCTGATCACCAACTTTGCATCCTGGTTGGCCCGATTGCTTGATGGTTCCTTTGCAACACCCGAACTTGCCCTAATTAACCACTTCTGTCAAATTGGGCATATGTTTCGTTAGCCATTGCTCCTGCCTTCCATCCTATCATTGGCCCTGCTGTCTTCTGCCGCGGGACCCATGTTCGCACGTATAACCTATATGTTGTCTTTTGTCTTCGCCTACCTTACTGAATCCACATCTGTTACCCCAACCTTTGTCGTCGCTCCAACCTTGGTTTCCGTCCGCATCCGCGTGCCACCAAATGCCTTCATCGTCCAATTCCCCATGGTAATTTCACGGGTAGTCTCCCTAATCGCGGCGTTCCTCTTCCTTCCCAACTCCTCCGATGTCCACGGCGTCGCTGTTCTTCGCGTCCGCAACGAGTCTCCTTTTTCCGAGCCCAATCACCGCACCGCAAGTATAACTCACTGTATGACTCGGTGGCTAAGGAATCAAGCGTTTTTCACAGTCTTGCTGCCAATCGTCGAACTACACTCCGGCAGGCGGCATGATCCTCACAGCCGTATCCCGAAGGGCAGAACCGACTCATAGAATGTCCCATATTTCTAGTCGTTCAACCAGGGCGCTCCACTGACCACGGTGACCTGGCGCATCGCCGACCCTCTTGGGCCTGCCGGGGTCCGTGGAAGAGCCCATCGTAGCCGAAAGGGTTACTCCCGTTGCTGCAGACACCCTGTTGCATATCTTCGTGCATGCTATGAACCAATCACCTTCTTCTAAACCGCGCAGCTAATGACGTGCATCGATGCTTTCCAGTTTCTCGGTTAGGATGTGCCACAAATCTTCATTTAACTGATGAGCTTCATCTTCACCCATAACGCAATAAGTCCGTAGCGTATTTTTCTCTGTTCTTTTCAAATGTCGCCCTGTTGTGCCCCGCTGCCCTCATTCTCCCGCCTAGCATCGCTATATTATATCATTCCTCACTAGGGTCTGGTCCTGCTCCGCCCACGGAGCCTCGTTTTGAAATCAGCAGCTTGAAGGCCTTGCAGTTTCCATGTGCCGAAGAATGCAACAGCCGATCGCTCCATTCACGAAAGTTCGTCTGGTCACCGCTGATGCTCTGTTGCTCCTGGATCGCCTTCGAATCGCTTACAAGGCCGTTGGTGCGTCTTACTTTTAACGGATCGCATGTTTCCCTTACGTGTGCCAGGGTCGCGTTTGTATTCGCATTTTCTTCGATCGCCCTCTCCTACTCGGCCACTTGTGTCCTCGTTGTCTCTACCTCGTGTTTGATCTCGCGGTTGGCGGTCCTCCTCAGTAATGCCGCGCTGGATTTGCGAAACATCCTCTTTTGTGCGCTCGCTGGACAGTTCTTGAATGAAGATTATGTGCAATATTGTCGCGTGGTTGGCATTGCTGCTCCCGCCCTAACTGCAAATTTCCGCGATTCGCGATCCTGCAAATATAACATAAAGAAAGTATGAAGGATTGTGCTCTGTTGTGCAGTCAGCGGTCTACGCTAAGGTACGAACGTGTAGCACACGCCTTTCGGCGGTTATGATTCCTTGAGCCAAACATGCCACTGGTTGCGCTGTCACCTGAGGCCTTATGTTAAACTCCTTCTCCTCCTCCTCCTCCTCCTCCTCCTCCTCCTCCTCCGCCTCATCGCCCGCCTCCTCAACTTCTCTCTCCGCCTCCTTCACGCCGCACAGCTCTTGACTCCCACTGCCTCAGACGAAGGTTCTCTACGATTAGGCTGCCCTTTCGGGACGAAAGTTTTTCTCGACGCCCGACTCTGCGAATAGAAGGGGACTCAGTGCAACGCAAAGGGATGGAAGGGCGGGGTGTGCCGTCAGATATGGCGCGAGCGTAGCTTGCAATCCCCGCCCACTCCCTCTCCCCCTTCCACTCTCGGGTCGGGCGAAAGGGGGGGATAGCACGTAGCTGATTTTCCCGGCGCCTCCCGGCGCCGGAGGCGGCTATGTATCGAGGAATGGGCCCCTCGGTGAGGCCGAAACCAGCTGCATGCAGCAGATTTCGTAACCCCCCCTTTCCCAAACCCCCCCTTTCGCCCGACCCGACACTCCCATCCCACCCTCCTTCTCTCCATCCTCCGGCGGCCCAAGGAGCACGAGGGCACAAGTGAGTGGGAAAAAGTGCGTAGACCTCCGACGCCTGGAGCAAAAAAAAACGAGGCGGAGGCTGATCGCTATGTTGGCCTGCGGAGGCCGCTTCCGGGCGACAAGACCGTCGAGCAGGACGATCTGGGCCGAAAAGACGGCCCCCGCGGCGAAGGGGTCGCAGAAGATGAAGGCCCGACGGCCGCGCGGGCAACGGCTTGGCGCGTCCAAGCTCTTCGGCCACACGCAAGATCGACCATGGGCAAGGGTCGGGGATGGACAGAACCCCCTTTAGCAAAACGTGGTTTAGTGAAAACGACCTCGGGCCCAAACCCGGCGGGCGCAAGCCTGGAAAATAACGGCCACGGCGCCCTCTCGAAAGCCGAAAACGGACAATTCACTAATCGACGTGTCACTGTTGGGGGTTCTGTCCAGCCCCGAAAGGGTGGACTTTGCTGCGCGGCCTGCCGACCGTTGCACGAGGTGCGGGCACTTGCGACCCGCGCGCTTGGGCTTGTTGGTCCTCCCACGCCCCCCCGAAACCCGTGCGTGCGGCCGAGCTCTGCGAGGCCTCGGCCGCAGCCTCCCTAAAGAACGAAAGCAGCATGAAAATACATGCTCGGATGTCCGCGCAAATTGCTTGGATCGGCTGGAGGGTTCTGAGTCTCCGCGCCGATCCAGGATATCCGCGCGGAGCTCCGAATATTCATGCTCATGCATTTTCTTTTTTCCTCGAGCTTTGCAAGGCCTCGGCCGTGGCTTCTGCGGCGATTGAGCATCGTTTAACCGACCCTTATCCACATCGGCGTGGCCGATTTACCCCCCTTGATGGGAATATAGGCTGCGCCCTTCGGAGTGCGAGGGGTCGATCCCCAACTGGGGTGGTGGGATGGTGGGACTGAGATGCAATGGCCCGGTGGGGATGGGGATTGGTTGCAATCAGCCCGTGTAATGAAGATCCACGAAAAGGATGCAATGGCCTTGGAAGGCCATGCCGATACTTTGCAAGCGGGGCGCGGCCAGCGAAAGTGGCCGAGGATGGGTCGAAGGAGAAGGATGCAAGGGTAAACTTGGAAAGTCGCTCACCCTTACGATGCTCGAGTAAGGGATCGACTACATAATTTATAGACCCCATTATTGATTTTTCCCGCCGAATCTATAAAAACTGCTCAGAACTCTTGCAGATCTACGACAACTCGACGTAGTCGTCCATAGGCTGGGCGTGAAAGCTGAGTTTGGGGTCGATACATTCCGCGGTCGGTTCCTAACTCGATGTGCGGGTTGACTGTAACCGATGCTGAGCTTAGCCGCCCCGATGCGCAACACGCAACACGTAGCGTGTCGAAATGGAGCTCAACGCGCAGACTGCGAACGTAGGCGCAGCGCGATACGCTCGCCACCACGCGGGCCAACACGTGCCGAGCCAGCACGCCACGCGTTCGCACTGACATCTTGAACACGGCACGCGCTGCGCGTCAAGCTTCAACACGGGCGCACCAGGGCAGCTATCGAGGATCTTCTGACCCGGGTCAATCCATACGGCAGGTTCGTGTCGTGTCGACCCCGGCGTTGGTTTTTGACACCGCAGGGATCGTTCAGCCTTGAACGATCGGCCGTTTCCGCAACGTCCAATCGTTCAACATCGACCGATTCTGGGCCGCCGCCGGCGTTCAACGTTGAACGCCCGCGCTGGGGTCGCCGCTGGTCGACACGACGCAAACCTACCGTACCCGGGTCAGTCAGGCCTTGCAGGATCCTTCAGGATCCCGCGCCCAAGCCTGGGTCGATGCGACCCTGGCCCTGCAGGAACCTGCAGGATCCGGCGCTCTGACTGACGCCCGCTTGTACCGACCCCCGTCTCTTGAGCCCCAAAGCTGAGATACTGAGCGATGAGGATGCCTGGCGGCGGTGCCCGCCGCGCTCCTGCCCGAGGCGGGCCAGAGACTAGCGCGGCGGCGGCTGGCTAGCTCCGCGAGGCTTCGGCCACCGAGCTCCCGCTCGGGGCCCTGGCCACCCTCACGGCGGTCCACAGGCGCGTGCCGGCCCCTTTCAGCTGGCCCTGGGCCTTCGACTGCCTGAGAAGAAAGAACAGAGCAGGGGATCGACTGCAGAACTGATTTAGCCCAAGACCAACTTTCACGTCGAGTCGACTAGCGAATACATACAAATGTCGTAAATCTATCAAAGATCTACGCAGTTTCCATGGATTCGACGAGACAAATGAAGTTCGGGGTAAATCAATGCTGTACGTAGTCGATCCATTACTCGAAGGACCAGCCCCCAGAGCAGAAACTTTCGGAGCTCCACGCGGATTTCTTGGATGGGCACTGGGCCCCCCTGGCGGCGCCTCCAGCGCCGCCCCTGGTGCGCCCCTCGCGCCAGGGAGGGGGGTCCAGCGCCGATCCACGAGATCCGCACAAAGCTCCCAAAGTTTATACGTATTCTGTGCCGCCGCTGTTCGATGCCTGTGCTGCCTCCAGCACCTCTGCCGACGCTCCTGCAAGACGAAGCCAGGACCGGGACTTAATCGGATACGGATACATCGGGGATCTCTCAGATCCGGCGGTTCTGGGGGATGTATCAAGCGCCGCGGCTGTTCCGGATCGTGCCAGAACGCTCTGCGAGCGCGAGCGTTCCGGAACGCTCTGGAACGATTTATCCGGTCATGGGCCCGCCCGATCCTGCGAGGGAGTCTCGCCAGCCTCCGAGCACCTGAGGGCATCGGCGCGCTGGACCTCCAACGCCTCGTTGAGGGTGCAGAGGACCTTCTGGTTGCCCTCTTGCGCGGCCGCCTCCGCCGGGTTCATTCCCTCCTTTGCCTTCAGCGTCACGTCCGCGCCGGCATCCAGAAGCTCCTCGACGGCGTCCAGGCAGTCGCAGAAGCCGGCCGCGTAGAGAGCCGTCCAGCCCTCTGAGTCCCCTCGGTCCACATCCGCGCCCAGCTCGCAGAGCGCCTGCACGGCGTCCGCGGCGTCGCTGCACGCCGCGGCCAGTAGCGGCGTGACGCCGTTCTGGTCGGCCTTGTCGACGTCGGCACCGTACTCTGCGAGGAGCTTCACGATGTCCGGCTCGTTAATGGAAGAGGCAAACAGCAGCAGTGAGGTGCTCCCGTCGGCGACCTCGGGGTCGGGGTCGTGGCCCTGCTCTAGCAGCGTCCTGACCAGCTCCATGTTGCCATCAGAGATGGCCTGGGTGAGCAGGTCGGACCCTCCGCTCTGGCACATGGTCATCGTGGTCTTGCGGGCCTCGGCGGCGGCAGTCACCAGGCGCCCCCGCGTCCTCCTCGCCGGGCGTAGATCCTCTGCGCCCTCCCCGGCGAAGTGAGCGGCGCGCGCCGCCCTTCCCGCCCTGGATTGCTCCTCGGCTGCGGCCGCATCCTTGGCCTTCTTCTCATCGACGTTCTGCTTGGCGCGACGGGCCTGGGCTCCAAGCGTGGCCACCAGGCGGAGGCCGCCGCGTAACCCTGCGGAGATGCCAAGCTGGTCGGCCGGCTCGTCCGCGAACGTAGCCCGGCTCGCCCTCGCAGCCTCGCCGCAGCCTTCGTCGGCAGCAGTTGTTTTTGCCCGGAGGGTTTCCCAAACGGCCCGCGCGCCCACCGCCTCGTCCAGGAACTCGGCCAGGCCCGCCCTGGGCCTCGGAACATCACCGTCGGCTGCCGTCGAGTCCCCGCCCAGGGCCGCGGCAGCCTGCGCGCTGCTGGCAGCTGGGCCATCACCGTTGGCCCGCGCGCCCGCCAGCTCATCCTGAAACTCGGCCAGGCTCGCCCGAGGCCTCGGAACCTCGCCGTCAGCACCCGTCGCCTCTGCCCCATTCGCTTCGGCAGCCTGCGCGCTGCCAGTAGCCGAGCCCCCCCCGTCCATCGTCTCCGCCCCCGGGGCCTCGGCAGTTTGTGCGCTGCTGGCAGCCGGGCCCTCCCCATCGGCCCGCGCGCCCACTGGCTCGTCCAGGAACTCGGCCAGGCTCCCCCTGGGCCCCGGAACCTCACCGTCCGCTGCCGTCGAGTCCCCAGGGGCCGCGGAGGAATGCGCGCTGCTGGCAGCCATGCCCTCGTCCAGGAACTCGGCCAGGCTCGCCCGAGGCCTCGGAACCTCGCCGTCGGCATCAGTCGCCTCCGCTCCCTTCGCTTCGGCAACCTGCGCGCTGCTGGCAGCCGGGACCTCCCCGTCCATCGTCTCGTCCAGGAACTCGGCCAGGCTCGCCCTAGGCTTGGGAGCCTCGCCGCCGCCGCCGCAATCGTCACGCGTTCGACCACGGGCGCCTTTTGACCCACCAACTTTCGGCAGTCTTCGGCGGTCTTCGGCGGCCTCCGGCGGTCTTCGGCGGCTTCCTGCGCGAGTGCAGAATGGATGGGTTCAAGGACGGCCCATGACCAAACACCCGACCATCGGCATCCCCCGCTTTCGCTCCAGGTGCCTCGGCAGCCTGCGCGCTGCTGGCAGACAGGCCCTCCCCGTCGGCCAGCGCGCCCGCAGCCTCATCCAGGCTCGGCCTTCCGGCCAGGTCGCCCACGGGGGAGCCGCCTGCCCGCGTGCTGGGCGTCGCCGCGGGCTGCGAGCCGCCCTCGGCCTTCCCCTGCAGCGGCTCGTCGAGAAAGGCCTCCAGGCTATTTCCCCTGGCAATGCTGGGGGCAGTGCCAGGGGCAAGGCCGCTGCCCAGGCACTCTGCACGCAGAGCCGCCGGCCCGCCTTCGAGGGGCTCCTCCGAAGAGTGGCGCGCCAGCAAGGCCTCTGCGGCGGGCGGCGACTGCAAGCCAAGACCACCAGCCGACGCTCTGGCCGCAGCGGCCTCCAGCGCAGCTCCGCGCTCAGGCGCGCTCACCGACGCTTTGGCCGAACCGCCCGCGCTCACTGACTCCCGCGCCGCAGGAACAGCTTCTGGCACAGGCAAATCTACCTCAACCTCCCTCGCCGATGGACTGGGCTCGAGCACATCTTGCGCAGTGCCCTCATCTTCGCGCCGTGGCTGCTCCAGCGGCTCGTCCAAAGACACGCGCGGCGCGGTCGCCACGAGGGAAATGCTGCGAGCCGTGCTGGTCGAAACCTCGCCGCACAGCTCTGCGAGGCTGGGGGACCGCTGGGCACGCCCTGCCATGGCCATGGGGCCACACGGCATGGGAGCTCCGATCAGAGAGGATCGCATCGCTGGCGGGGTGCCGAGGCTGATCGCCAGTCCTGACGGTGCGGACTGGTCTGCAAATCGGTCGCCCAGCGGCGTCGGCTTGGCTGTGGCTGTTGGCTGTAGCGGCTCTGCCTCTAGTTCTGGAACATATTGCCGTCGTGCTTCCTCTGCTACGGATTCCTCTGATGGGGCTGCCACGGACACCTGCGGTGCCATCGCAGCATCCACCGAAGCCGACGGTGCCTTGAGTTCCTCTGGCGACTCACTGGCCGAGCACACGCGTTCTACCACGCGCGATCTTTCCAAGCGGCCCTCGGCCTTGGATGCCGAGCTTCCCAGTATGCGGCTTGCACAAGCACGGGCTTCGCAAGAAGCCTCTGCCTCCCTTCCCGGTGCACACTGCTCCGTCGATTCCTCTGCCAATGCCTCTGCTGGTAAGGCTGCCACGGACTCCCGCGCCGCAGGAACAGCTTCTGGCACAGGCAAATCTACCTCAACCTCCCTCGCCGATGGACTGGGTTCGAGCACATCTTGCGCAGTGCCCTCATCTTCGCGCTGTGGCTGCTCCAGCGGCTCGTCCAAAGACACGCGCGGCGCGGTCGCCACGAGGGAAATGCTGCGAGCCGTGCTGGTCGAAACCTCGCCGCACAGCTCTGCGAGGCTGGGGGACCGCTGGGCACGCCCTGCCATGGCCATGGGGCCACACAGCGGTCGAGCTGCTCGCACTGATGGTGGGGTGGTGAGACCAAGCACAAGCTCCAACGGCATTATAGAAGGGTCGGCAGTTCGGTCGACCAGCGCAGCTGTCATGGCTGCAGCCCTCTGCCGTGGCGGCTCCAGCTGCGGCTCTGGCGCACAGTGCTCCAGCGTTTCCTGCACCATGGGCTCTGCTGGTGGGCCTGCCGCTGCCTTCTGCCGTGCCACCGCCGCTGCCTCCTTTGCCGCTGGCGCCTGCGGCTCAGGCTCCCCTGCTGATGCTATGGAACGACGGGCAACCGACGTGACGTCCCTTGCAGGGCAAGGCTCCCGCACGGCGTGTCCGCGGTTCACCGCCTGAATCTGAGTCGCTGCGGTCTCCGTGGCCCTGCGCCGCTCATCCGCGGCCTCCGCGCTTCCCATGGACTCCAAGGCCAGCCGCCGCACCAGCTCTGCCCGCAGCTCTCCCGACCTGCAGGCCCGCACCAGCAACAAAACCATCCGCGCGCGCAAGGCGAACAAGCACTGACTCGTCTGCTGCAGGGCGGTCCGCAGGGAGCCCGAGCGCTGCGCTTCGCGCAGCAAGCGCACAAGGCGGGCGCACAGGTCGACGGGCGAGGGGCTCGACGACATAGCATCCACGGGCGAGGCCTCCAGGGTCGTGGCGGCCGTGGCAGAAGTGAGCGCTGTCGGCGGCTCTCTGCTTCCTGCGGAACGCCCGGGCCGCGTCGGAAGGGCGTCACTCAGCGCCCGCGGCCGCTTTGCCGTCGCCGCCTCTGGGCCCACAGCCCGCGCCTCCGGCAGCCGCTTGGGCGCGGAGGGCGCGTGGACGGGCGGCCTGAGCTCGGTGAAGGCCACCGAGGGGCGGCAGTCGGCGCATCTGTTGGAGTGGTGGGCCGCGGGTGGGCTCCCACACTTGGCCCACAAAACGGGTTCCGCGGTGAAGCTGGCGCCCGTGGGCGGGCCCGCCGAGGAGAGCTGCGGCTGCGTTGGGTCTCCCAGCGGCCCCTGGGCAGAGTCGCGCTCCCCGCCAGCGCAGCAGAACTCGGGCGCTGCCGCGCTCAACGCCGCGCCCATCTGCCGCCCTGCCGCAGCCTCGGGGCGGCCAGAGGTCTCCAGCCCGCGGCGGCGGGCCCACCCCCCCTACCCTCGCCAGCAGCCCTTGCCAGCTCGGGCAAAGATGTGTGAGGAGGGAAAGCAGCAGCAGCCGCAGCAGCAGCAGCAGCAGCAGGAGCGGCAGCAGCAGCAGCGGGAGCGGCAACACAGGCGGAGAGGATGGCAGCGGCACTGGGAGAGAGGAGCGGCAATGGCGGCAAGAGGAGGGTCAGGACGAGCGGGGGGAGCAGCGGCAGTTTGGAAGCGCGCAGAGGCGATCGTGTTCGCTCGTATTCGGCCGCGCAGCGTTACAACGCCCAATGTGATTGAAAGTGGGTCACCAACCGTCCACGCATACGATTGGGGAATTATGAGATACCCTCTGCGGAACACAATGCTCCATGTGGGAGACAATGCAATGAATCCGCCGATCCGGCGTGTGAGTTTCTGAGAGCGTGGGCTTGAGCTCGCTCAAGTTTCGCTCTGCAGGGGGGGGGGCGCAAACGACGAAATCCGCCGACCCCTTGGGTCATCGGCGTGTGAGATGCCTCCCCCTCCCCAAACCCCTCCCCCGTGAACCCGGTCCGGTCGATTTGGAGGGGGGGGGGGCACTACGAGCGACTCACGACGCTCTTCCGGGCCCAGAAAGGCCCAAATACGGGCCAAGAAGGCCCCAAGAGGCCTCCCAGACGTTCCAAGAGGCCCCCAGACGCCCCAAGAGACCGCCTAGACGCCCTAAGAAGCGCCCGCGAGGCCCCAAGAGGCTTCCAAGACGCCCCACGAGAGCTCCAAGACGCCCGAAGAGACCTCCAAGACGCCCCAAGAGACCTCCAAGACGCCCCCGAGGAGCGCCCCAAGACGCCAAAATCGTTGATTGTCATTTGTTTTTTCGATGTTTTCGTCATTTTCGCCTTTTCGGCCTTCCGACGCTCCAAGACAGCCCAAGAAGCTCCCAAGACTGCTCCAAAACGGCACAAGAGGCCTCCACGACGCCCCCAAGACGGCCCAAGAGAGCCCCCAGACGGCCCAAGAGCCGCCCAAGGCGGCCCAAGAGAGCCCCCAGACGGCCCAAGAGCCGCCCAAGACGGCACAAGAACCTCCCAGAGACGGGCCCAAGAGGGGTTCCAGAGAGAGAGAGAGAGACCACGCACCGGAAAACCCAGCCTTACGCCCCAAGAGGCCCCCAGGAGGCCCCAAGAGGCCCCAAAGAGGCCCCAAGAACCCCCAAGAGGCCCCCAAGACGTTCCAAGAGGCGCCCAAGAAGCCACAAAGAGGCCCCAAAACGGCCCCCCAGAGCCTTCGAAACTGCTCAGAGAGCCCCGCAAGAAGCCCCCCCGCAAGATCCCAACGGACATTTCCGAACACACCGGTTTTTCGAGTCGCGCCCAACCCCATAACCTGGAGCCTCATCTCCGTGTCCTCCTCTTCTTCCTCTTCCTCCTCCTCCTGCGCTTCCTCCTCGTTCCCCTCCTCCTCTTCCTGCCCCGCTTCGGCTCATCCTCACCGATGCTTCTCCCCCCCATTTTCCGCCTCACCCCCCATCCTCCTCTTCCCGTCCTCCCTTTTCTGCCCAGTACGCGCAACCGATTGGGCATCATTTGCACGTCTTGCACTTTAGGGTGCCCTTCTGTGCGTCGCGCGGGACATTGTGCGGGTCGGGGAACGCCGACTTTGGTCGTCCTCTCTTGCACGCGCCGCTGCACTGACAAGCCTGGCAACTGCGCGCTGTGAGCCCGAGTTCCTCGCAGTTTCTGCACACCACTTTAGCTCCTTTCGCCGCTCGATGATTTTTCACTTGCTTCTGCTTCAAATGTTTCGTGTCCGAGAACGCGCCTTTGCACGCCGCGCGCGTCAGCGGCTTCGCGTCCGCCTCTGTTTTCCGCTTGCGATTCTCTGCATCCGCCTTCTCGTTCCGCCCACCCTTCTCGTTGCGGGCGCACGCCCTGCAAAACCTCCCCCCCGCATTTTTCGAGTCGTACTGGTTCGCCGCCATTTCCGCCTCCGTCTTCAAGAAATTCTTGCACTTCGCGCACCGAATCTTGAATTTCTCCTGAACCTTCTCTTGCCACGCCGCCGACTCATTCCGTGACTTCCGCGCCGTCGCGGGCCCCGCGCATCTTTCGCGCCTCTTCCTATCCCTTTCCTCCTACATCTCCTCCTCGTATCCTTCTCCTCCTCCATTTCCCTCCTCAACAACAGACAGATACCCCCGGACCCAAAAACACACAAGAACAGAAAACAACATCAAGAAACCATAGGGAAACAGCATGGGAAACACAACGTGCAACCACCAACAACAAAAACAACATCAAAACGACCCCTGTCAGCCTACCCATAATTACAACACCAAGAAAACAAAAAAGGAAAAAAACAAAAAAAAAAAATTGCGTTAGTTGCCCCTTACCAGTACACAAAAGGCAGGCAGTTCGAAGTCCTTCCTCTTCGTACCCCTTTCTTCCTACATTTACTCCTCGTCTCCCGTTCGTCCTCCATATCCCCCCTCGACAACAGACAGATACCCCCGGACCCAAAACACACACAATAACAGAAAACAACATCAAGAAACCATAGGGGAACAGCATGGGAAACACAACGTGAAACCACCGCCAACAAAAGACAACATCAAAACGACCCCTGTAGACCCATGCTTACAACACCAATAAAACTAAAAAAAATTGGCGTTAGTTCCCCCTTTTACCAGTACACAACAGGCAAGCAGTTTGAAGTCCTTCCTCTTCCTATCCCTTTCCTCATACATTTCCTCCTCGTCCCCCTCTCCTCCTCCATCTCCCTCCTCAACAACAGACAGATACCCCCAGACCCAAAAACACACAAGAACAGAAAACAACATCAAGAAACCATAGGGAAACAGTATGGGAAACACAACGTGAAACCACCGCCAACAAAAAAAAACATCAAAACGACTCCTCTGTCAGCCTACCCATGCTTACATCACCATTTTTATGTTATGTTTCTTTCTTTTTCTTAATATATATATATATATATATCATATATATATATATTATATATATATATAATGGCGTTAATTCCCCCTTACCAGTACACAAAAGGCAAGCAGTTTGAAGTCCTTCCTCTTCCTATCCCTTTCCTCCTACATTTCCTCCTCGTCTCCCTCTCCTCCTCCATACCCCTCCTCAACAACAGACAGATACCCCCGGACCCAAAAACACACAAGAACAGAAAACAACATCAAGAAACCATAGGGAAACAGCATGGGAAACACAACGTGCAACCACCAACTACAAAAACAACATCAAAACGACCCCTGTCAGCCTACCCATGATTACAACACCAAGAAAACTAAATTTAAAAAATGGCGCTTCCCCTGACCAGTACACAAAAGGCAGGCAGTTCGAAGTCCTTCCTCTTCGTACCCTTTTCCTCATACATTTCCTCCTCGTCTCCCGCTCCTCCTACATATCCCCCCTCGACAACAGACAGATACCCCCGGACCCAAAAACACACAAGAACTGAAAACAACATCAAGAAACCATGGGGAAACAGCATGGGAAACACAACGTGCAACCACCAACAACAAAAACAACATCAAAACGACCCCTGTCAGCGCAGACACGCTTACAACACCAAGAAAACACACAAAAAAAAACGCGCGAGTTTCCCTTTACCAGTGCACAAAAGGCAGGCAGTTTGAAGTCCTTCCTCTTCGTACCCCTTCCTCCTACATTTCCTCCTCGTCCCCCCCTCCTCCTCCATACCCCTCCTCAACAACAGACAGATACCCCTGGACCCAAAAAATCACCCGGGTGACTCCAACCTAAGACCCATGGAGGCCCAACCGGAAAGAAAAAAAAAATGGGGCGCGCCGAAGAACCCAGGGGGTCCGGTTTCCGCGGAGGAAAGAAAAAAACCCTGGCGATGGGGTTCGAGCACGGGGGTTACCCCCCCCTCAAATTCCGGAAGAGGAATGAACTCCCAGCCGCGGGGGTGCCCGCGCGAGGGGTCCCACCCCCCCAAGCGCAACCAGAGGAAGAAAAGCGTGAGAGCCGAGACTGTAAGTGCAATGCAACAACACCTTAATCGCGGTTGCACTAGGGATTTGTATTAGTACGGGAACAACTGAATTACAGCCGGTGAGGTTTGGGTTCGGGCTCGGGCTTATATATTGGGAACCCAGTATATTGGAAACGCAATATATTGGGAACGTGCGCGTGTAGCGACGGCGGCGGACACATCGGCAGGACAACGTGCTCTCTAGGAACAACTGCGCGATAGGACATGATAGTACCAGTTGTACTCAAGTACGAGTTGTACGGTAGTCGGAGGGGTTCAGGGGTTCCAACGGCAACGCGCGCGGGGAAAAAGGAAAGAAATCCATGCGCCGCCAGGGGTCCCGGGTTTAACGGGTCGCCGCGAAGGTTGACCCCCCGCGGAAAGAAGAAAAGAAATCCGGCCGGGGGGTTGGGGGGTTGAGGGATGAGTCACGGGGGCGATCCCAAAAACACACAAGAAGAGAAAACAACATCAAGAAGCCAAAGGGGAACAGCATGGCAAACACAACGTGCAACCACCACCAACAAACACAACATCAAAACGACCCCTGTCAGCGCACCCACGCTTACAACACCAATTGTTTTCTATTTTTTTTTGTTTTATTTTTTTTTTTTTTTTAAAAAAAAAAAAAAAAAAAAAAAAAAAAAAAAAAAAAAAAAAAAAAAAATGGCGTTAGTTTCCCCTTACCAGATGTTTCCCCCTGCACGACTCGGGGGAACTCCGTTCCCCCTGGATACACGCCGGAGCGCGACTCGGGGGAACAGCCTTCCCTCTGGATGCGCGCCAAGCTTTTTCCTCCTGCACGACTCGGAGGGAATTCCGTTATCCCTAGATACGTGCCAAAAAAAACGACTCGGGGAGAACAGCCTTCCCTCTGGATAAGCGCCACACTCTTTCCTCCTGCGCGACTCGGAGGGAACTCCGTTCCCCCTGGGTACATGCAAAAGCACGACTCGGGGGGAACAGCCTTCCCTCTGGATACGCGCCAAGCTCTTTCCTCCTGCACGACTTGGAGGGAACTCCGTTCCCCCTGGATACACGCCGGAGCGCGACTCGGGGGGAACAGCGTTCCCTCTGGATACGCGCCA